CACTATACCGAGGCTATAAAGGGTACATTTGACCAAGGCTTGGCAAACCATAGTGTCTAACCTAGGTGGCTAGGGCAAAGTTGTAAGTTATGCTTGAAGTTATGGAAAGTTATATCCTACCTAAAGGATCTCCTACTAAAGGTCTCCACTGTGAGATTTGCTACAGCCAGTTAGAAACACAAGCAAAAATGTGAATTGTGAGTCACTGCCATTTCATGTTCCTTCTTTAGATGAAATGTGTCTGTGCAGTCAATTTTAGGATTTGTAATTTGAGGGACTTATGCTTTCCCTATGTGACATGTTATTTCAAGAACTAAAAGTTCCAGAATCCCTTGGTGTGCATATGGTGAGAGGAACGGGCAAAGCACCATATTACAATAGATATTAATCTGGGAATGGTAGAAAGAAGCTACATAGCACTTTTCTACCTCACACTCACAGTGCCCCACTACAAATATAAATCAGTCAGCCAGAAATGTAAGGAGCCAAAATAAAAGGTATTCAAAGAAGGCTAAAGGACTAGGACTAATGCTCTAGGTTTTCAGAACAGACAAGGTTTTTCTGTAGTTTGGCTTGGGGAATAGAGCTGTAGTAGACAACCAAAGGCAATACGATGGAACTGATTTTAATATCAACAGTGTGTCTCTGGGAATGGCAACTGATGATGAAATAAAGCTGTCTGATGCATCCTGTGACTTCAATGCTTTTGAAAGATAGCCAGGTAATGTCTTCATCACTACTGCCAACACATTCAAAAAAAGATTTGCAAAACACAGAAGAGTCCTATATTATTTGATTCATGCTATTTCAAAGCTCGTGGCCTCAACTGATAAAAGATTCTATCCAACAAAAATTGGTTCTAACTGGTGTCTTGGCATTTGAAGAAATGCAGAAGCTAACAAGTAAATTCCAAAAGCTGTTGGTGGGCATAAATGCCCTGGATTTCTTCTCAAATGCAAAAGACTGGCTTGTTGAGAACCTGCATCATATGTAGCTCTGTGTTGTTTTCCATGTCAATTATTTTCTAAAGGAGAGAGAAAATCAATACAAAATGGGTAACTAGCAAAAATTGATGGTCATGGAGAAAATGCAAAGGGATGGCATAAGCTGTATAACCAACTTCTTGAACCCCAAAAGAGTACAGCATGTCATGCTTTGCTATAGCCAATGGGCATGGAATAGGCAGTGGTACTTAAAAACAAATATTAACAAAAGTGAAATAGGAGGAAAGCAGACGTTAATATTTCCAGAGAATGCATCTGGCTCAAGCTAGATGTGTGCAGGGCTCTGAGAATCTACCTCAATGAAAATAGCAAAGAGCTCATCATTTTGTGTCTCGTACAAAATGAGGAATCAGGAAAGAGATGTTTCCTTCTCCACATTTAGCAGGTGGGTAGGCCCCCCCCCCCCGCTTTTCTACTCACAGCACACTCTGTAAAGAGAGCAGGTACACTGATAGTCTTAATGGCATGAGTGCAATTTATAGATATTTTTAGGGTGGCTACCTGGGCAAAGTCATCTATCTTTATAAAACATTGCAATATAGGAATGTTTGACTTCTTTGACCAGATTTGGGCTGCAATGGGATACAAAGAGTGCTATAAACGGTTTGATTGATCCGCCCTGGAAATACTGCTATAGTGTAGCCCTTTCAGGTCAGCTTGATCGCCAACCATTACACATTATTCTTCCATTCCTGTATGTCATACCAGTTGCAAGCTTTCTTATGATTATTGAATATACTATAAAGGAATAGTTGAACCTCTCAGCTGAAGTCAATGCAGGTGTCTGAAGGGAAAGGGTATTCTCCATGAAATAGTAAGAGGTCTTAAGCCCTGTGTTCTAACTAGAAGAGGTGGAATTAATCCTTTTCTGTCAGGTCCATCTTCCAGTGACCAGAAAGGTACATCATGGTAAGTCAAGCTCCCATTCTGTTGAACTTGTCAACTACAGTACCTATATATACCACTGTCTCTCTCTCTAGGATATAGCAGTTTGAACTGCTCCATAAAATATTCTCATTTCATTTTCATACTGCTTTCCTGTTCAGTTGTTGAGCTGTTCACAACCACCTTTGAACTTGTGTATTGATGCTGCTTATTAGGGGATTGCTTTGTCAGAATGATATGAAATTAAAAATGCATGGAGAGATATCTCAATTTGCACACAGGAGGGGTACAAATTGTACTTGCTGGCAGAGTGTTCTTAACACAGGAAGCTCTGAGCATCCTCCTCCTGCTGACATTCCGCTGTTCAGTGAAAATCTGAATCAAGAAGAACCTCAACCTTAATGTGACCCGTGGGAAATTGCTGGAACCCGGAACCGTTCTTGCTTTTGCCCTGTCTCTCAATGGCATCTTGGCAGGCAGCCACATTTGCTTGAAGCACTAACTCTCTTAACACTATTCCTGCTGAGCTACTGTTGGCAGGCTGGGATCCACGGCTTTTCTAGCGTATATTTTATTTATAAGTTATTTCTTATCAAGCACAGTGTATATATAGAACACTTATAGGCCGAGTGTCTAATTACAGTTTATTGTACATTTCTTGCTGGGTGAGGGGGAGTTTGCAAAAGCAAAAGGAAGTGTCAGTGTTTAACTTGCTCTCGAAAATTGGCAACTGCCCTTATTTTAGCCATCATCTGAAATGTTCCACCAATTAATAACATGCCTCTTTGTTGAGCTGTGTAAAAGTCTAGTGGCAAGATGCAACAGGGCAACTCTCAGAAGGCTGACATCCTGGAAGGACGTGAAGGAACGTTTTCTTTGCTCGCTCTGGTTTAGAACCAGTTAGAAAAGGATCCTTGGAAACTGCAGGGATATTGCTTATTTCTTCTAGTTCTGAGGGGAAAAAAAAGATTTTTATCAGACATTTAAAAGTCAGGGTATGGACAATGCACTTGATATGCCTCAAGGAATGCTCGTATAGAAAACACTTTATCCTTTTCTGATTAGGACTTTCTCAAGGTTTTCTTGCAGCAGAGTTAGTGCCTCATTAACTTTTCTGGGACAGTTTGCCCTTTGAAATAACTGAATGGCATCTGCTTCTTACTCAAAATCAATGGGGAGAATATATCATCTCCCATGTCTTTTCTGTCTGTTTGTCTAATAGCTGTAGAGGAATAGCATTCGATGCGTGGGGCATTTTGCATTAGAGAGAAGGAAGGATGCTACTTCTAAGATTATACTTACCACCCCTAAGGGTGTTTTTTGTTTTGTAAACTGTTTACTTCAAAAAAGTTTTCACTGAGTTTATCTTTTTTAATCAGTTTTTTTTAAAAAAAACAACTCTGTATACATTTACCTTGTAGAAGTGGATTACAATAAAGGTGAAGTCTCCTTTAAATTGAGCTTGACTCCTGATGACTTTGTGTGAGATTGGTGGCTATATAAATATGATAGATAAATAAATAAATAAAAATGACTTTATGGACATGTCCATGTAGTTTTCTTAGTAACAATACAGATGTGGTTTCCTATTGCTTTCCTCCATTAGAGCATTCTTCAAATTTTAAAAGGCTGTGTTCACACAACATGCATAATTGGGTAGATAAGGACTAGCAGATGCATTCACACAACATGCTAAGTTTGATTGCTTTTAACCCTAGTTAGAGGGATTTTTTTTATGATTATCATATTAAAGGGGGTCAGGATTTGTTTTTCATGGTCTTCAAAGGCAGATCTAGAGCTCCTGGACTTAAATTCCAATTGAATATTAGCCAAAATGTCTTAACAGCAAGAACAAATTGGAAATAGAACCATAAGGCTGGGTGAATTCATAAAAGGTCTTCAAGCAGAAACTGATGGCTGTTGTAGCTTTAGATCTCATGCATCAATCAGGGAATCAAATTAGGTAGCCAAGACTAGGATAAGTACTGTATCTCTAACCAGAATGGAGTCTATGGAAGTTCCAGTAAAATACCAGTGAAACATCAGTTTTGACGAGTGCTTTGAAGTGGAAAGAAAAATGACAACTGAAGAAACTACATAGCAAAAGATATAAACCTATACCTGGGTGAAACAAAGAAAGGAGAATATGGCAGGTTGGTGGGGAAAAATCACAGTAGTTAGGATAATGGCAAAGACAAATCCCTTTGCCAAGTTCTTCCTTGTTAAGTAGTCTAAGATACTGATTTTAAGGTTTTGATTTTTTTTTAATTGGTGTAAGCCTTCTTGAGTGTTGGTATAAACAGGAAGATGGGGCATATTCAATAATAAGCAGATAAGAATAACTCTGTAAAAATATAGTAGTAAGTTTGGTTCACAAAGACAGCACAGGAAACAGACCATTTTGCATTAGAACCCATTGGCTGTCCTCTGAATGCTCTAGCTTTTGAGATATGGCACTGCAGAAAGTGCAGCCAAGAGAAATAAAAATAGAGTTCTTTGGGATTGATTAATGATTGGATCTGAGAGTGAGACCATCTCACTGGTCTTCAAAAAAGGAGGAGTTGATTTCAAGGGTCACAGAAAGTATTCTGAGGTCACAAAAGTATTAAACACCAAGCTGTATTAAGAAGAAGAATCTTACTCTAATAACTTTGGAACATCCATTCAAATACCTCTGATGTGATCTATATCTAATGCACTACTTACGTAATTAATAATGAGAATAATCTCAAGCTATGGTCCCAAGTCAAAACAGATGGCAGGGGACCACAGCTGATCTTGGAAAAAAAAAGTTCTTGAACTGGAAACCAGATACAAATCCCAGCTCTGAAGGTAGATTAGAAGTGCCAAAAAGACAACGTGGACATGTCCTGCAGTCACCAGGAGTTGTGCTTAATTTAAGGAAGACTTTGCCTTCTAATGTGTCGGGGGATGTAGGGGTAGAATGGGAAAAATAATTATCTGGGAGCACTTAGCTTTAATGCAGGTCTAAACTTTTGTTGGAAGGGACCATTCAGCCCTCTGCTCAGTTTGAACCACAATATGTTGCAGCTGATTCAAGGTCAGCTTGTAATTAATACTGTTTTTCCCCTCCTCTTTTTTTTTTAACAGCCTCAACAGAGAGTTCTCCATAAACATCACCAACCTCTAAAGCTGCTGTCCTGCCAGATGATCTAGAAGTGAACTTTTCCATCTGAAAGAATAAAAATAATAATTTTTAAAAAGAAGCATAAGAAATGACACTGCCAGAAGAAAACAGCCACCAAGAACTGGACCCAAATCCAATTCATCTGGTTAAGAGGATAAGTTCTGAATAGCCCCTGTTTTCCTGAAGGAATTCCAGCGTGGCATATAACCAACAATATAATTCTTTCCACCTAATCATTGGTGGATTTTTTACACCGGAAAACTGCTTCCAGTTTCATCACTGTGCGTAAACTTTATATTCCCATTAGGGAACTCTCTGTGACCTTCACTAAAAGTTCTGGGATTTGGTTTGATTTAGTTTTGTTTTTAGCATGGCAACTAATGGATTATATTATATATGCAGATTGCATGATGTTTTTATGGGACAGGTAGTTCCAGTTCTGCACATCCAAGGGTTCGCAGATATTCCTTTTCCCTATTCCCTGATAGGAACTTAGAAATATTTTGTGTTTAGTGATACACTGAATGATATTCTGTTTTACAGTATCTGCATTCCATACATGATCTCCACACAGACATTCTAGCAGATTTGATGTGCTATGGGAATGTTTCAGGTATCCACATTGGGATTATACCTTGTGTGACTCACCATGTGCATTGCTTCAGTAGCAAAGTTGGCTTGGTAACTTACGTGGACATTGTTGTGGCTATTTTGACTCTTCACTTGTAGAAGTAGTAGAATGAGAGCACGTATGTTCCCTTTCTGCACCTACTCTCCAAAATTACAAGTAAGATTATATTTCTGTTACTTTGATGCATGTTAAATAATAGAGAAGAAAATAATGGATATAAAGATTGCTGTCTTGTTGCAAGAACCACTCGCTTTTGATGATGAAGATAGATGTAACATTTCAGTAGCAATGTGGCCAATCTGAAAACATTCTCATTGCACGCTGTAGAAATGAATATTTTCTACTACACAGTTGTAGCAAAAGCCAGCTGTAAAAAGTGCTGATTGGTTAGTATAGGTGACGTTATTCCTGGCTGTTTTAAATGCTTGCTTGTTTTCAATAGAACAGACAAAAATATGAATAGTGAACTGATAAATAATTACGGTCTTACTACATAAACTATTTTATTATTTTTTTCCTTTCCTCATCTGAAGTAGGACAAATACAGTGACAGATCCAGCTTTTGACTTGCTGGTGATACACTGTGGTGTGAACACTGTAAGTTATACACTGTATAACTGTTATATTTATCTTTACCCCTAGAAGTGACTTCTTGTTGAAAATAAGAAAAATCTATTTTTTTTTTGTTTTTTGGGGGGGGCATAAAGCAGAAATGTTATAGATAATGAATGAAGACCACAACTCTTTGTAGGGAAATGGGGAGATTGCCCATCAAGACTTTCCTAGTTTCTTTGGAAAATACAATTCCAATTTTTCAAGTACGTTCTTAAGCAGTTCTGCCCAATGACATTTTCTTCCATTGACATCCAGCTCAGTCTTGGGATTCACCTTTTTTGTTAATCTGGTGTGCCATATTGACCTCAAATTCTTTTTCAAACAGCTATCAGCCAGAGCAAGCAAGCCAAAATTTCACAGGCCAAGGATATGTTGGAATCTCAATCATCTTGAATAGTGCACTTAAGGAGCATTTATGCTACAGATAGGTATCTGCAGAGATCTTACGTTTTTGAATTTGCCTTGACCCTCTGCTTTACACCTGAGTCCATTTTCTTGCTCTCATAAATGGCTTCAAGCAGAAATGAAATGTTTACTTTCCACATAACTGTAGCTGGCTTAAGACTGTTGCAACCAAAATGAGCTTTGCTCTCCATTATTCTTTTTCCAGGTTTCCAAAACACAGCAGGCTGTGGTTTAATCTTCATCCTACAAATTCTGAGTCAGTGCTTTCCAATATACTTTTGTCCTTTGGTTTCTTCTGGGAACAAAACTCTTTCTAGCAAAAAAATATTGATAGCATCCATAGAAAACAAGTGTCTGATCCTAATTGTCCCTAAATCAAGCAATGGCAGATCTTCAGTTGAACTTTCTCCTGCTTGATAGACTGTTATAAACTTGTGTGGTTTTCATACACACACACACACACCTTTGTTGTGCAATTCATACTTTTCAACTTGTCAGTGCTTCAAGATGTACCTTAAGCTATTTTAAGAGAAGAGCAGCTTATATTCCTACATGGATTTTGGACCATTCATCTTGCTTGCTTTCTTGAAGTCTTGGAGTTTACAAGGTTGCTCCCTCTAGATGTTCCAATCAGTGGCTTGCAAAAGCCTTCACAAAAGGGGTAAATCCAAAGTTAGTCATGTCAAGACAGATTTAAGGTATTGGCAGAACATTGTTATGGCTAATCTACTTTCAATGAAAAAGTTTGCTCTGTTACGATTATTTGTCAAGGTTTTCATAATGCATTGCCAGCATATGACATTAGACCGCTTTAGATACAGGGGTATCCACTAAGTATGGTTTAAAAAATGTCAAGATAGGGGCCGTGACACTGCAGCTGAAGCTCTGTTCGGTTTTTATGTGTGTTACCCATGTGACACACATTAAAAATGGGCAGCTTGGCACTGTTGTGGGTGCCCTCTTGACTTTATTTTTTTACCATGCCCTGTGGACACCTCTGTTTAGTTATGAGGCTCCACCATTTGTAATTTTCATAGAGAAAAGATAGTATGTTTTATTACAAGAAGGAGAAGAATACTTCCAAACATTAAAAAGTCCCAGTCTTTTATGTTAGAGCAGGGAAGTAGCAAGGAAAAAGAGCAATAGGATTAAAGTAATATTCCAGAAATAATCAATGGCCATTAGTTTTATACAAGACAGTCACCATATTAAACTCTCACAAAGAACCAGATCTACAATCAGTGCCTCACATTATTATCAACTGTGGTGACAAACCTACTTGTGTGTGCCTCAATAGAATTACTACTTTCTTAACACACTTTTTCAGCACTTTTTTCTTTCACCAGTTGTTTATTGTGTATACAGGCTCCTTTAATTAGCTTCTTCTCTTAACAATCCATCTGCAGACTACACTGTCCAAGAAAATAGGTAGAGCTCTACTAGATCAGATCTCACTCTAAGTTAGTCTTTCTGACTCTGATCTGCTAGTTGCCTCTGGAACCATAGAGGCATTAAAACCTTCTTCTGTGCTTCCAGCATCTGGAATTCATATATTTTAGAATCCTGATCTGTCCCATTCCTCCTCAATTTTCAATGGATTGGTATCTGAAACCTGCCTAAAAGAATAATGTTAAATTTGACTATTGGGAAGGGCAGAGCAGAATACAGATTTTGAATGAAGAAGGTCCTAAGTTCAATCACCAGCAACTTAAGTTAATCGAATCTCAGGTAGTAGGACTGGAAAAGACTAGAACTATCAGATCTGGGTTGCAAAAATCAGAATAACGACTAGATGGCAGTACAAGGTTACAGATTTTTCTGTTTCTCTACACCACAGACTAGCACTTGGTAGAGGACCCATGAAGGCCTTGGAAAAGATATTTGAATGCCATTATGTGTCTGTACCTACAAAGATCAAAATTGTGCAAATCAAGGTATTCTCTGTAACACTCTATGGAAGTGAAAGTTGGACTTTGAAGAAGCAAGATAGGGAGAGTATTGATGCTTTTGATGTTTGAGAAAACTTCTGAGAATACTGTGGACAGCCACAGTACAACAGTACAACAAAACAAACTAATGGATCATCAAACAAATCAACCGAGAGTGCTCACTGGAGGCACAAATGACCAGGCTCAAATTATCCTACTTTGGACACATTAGGTGAAGACCTAGCTCTCTGGAAAAGGCTGTAATGCTGGGAAAGGTGGAGGGAAAGAAAAGAGGACAAGCAGCAGCAAGGTGGATGGACTTAGCTACAAAGGCGGTGAGTGCATTGTTGGAAAACCTAAGAGATCAGGCGAGGGATAGATCATCATGGAGAATGTCTATCTATGTGGTTACTAGGAGTCAAAAATGATTTGATGGCACATCAAAACTTTGGTGTCATCTGGTGGTCTTCTGGTTTTCTGCATTCCAGATCTGGTAGTCCTAGAAAAGACTTTCTGCTTAAGGTTTCAGAGAAATCCTGCTAGTTGGCAGAGATGATTCTAGGTTAGACAGACCAATGATCTTATTCAATATATTCAGTTTCATATATTTATGTCGCAAAAGCAGAAACATCATTGCACACAGTGAAGCTTGATGCTTTTGTTCTCTTCCTCAGCATAATTGTTGTCCATTTTCATGGGGTTTTTTCCCCAATATTTGAATATTGTGGCTGCATCTCACCTGAACTTCCATTTAATCTTCTCATAACTGGTTCTTTTATCCCCCCATTATAGAATTTTCATTATGGCACTAGTATTGCTCCTTTCTAAGTCCTTTCCAAGTTCTCAACATCTGTGGCTGCCATAGCTACTCGTTGGTCTGATTGTGCATTGATTTTCACACTTACCTACATGACTGCTCTTAACCATTTGAATCTTGTAGCAGATACTGGAGTACATTTTGCCCTGCAAATTCTCAGTTTATATAAACAATGGACTGGTTTCATAATTGCCTACCCATGAACTAGAGAACACATCCAATAATGCAGAGACAAATAATTATTAATTTATTTTTCTGAGGAAATCCAGGGTGCCCAATGTACATTTTGAAGTTCTGACTGATCAGATTCACTATAAATTCTGAGGGTTATATTACCAATCTCGGAAGTGGGTGCCAGGATGGAGAACTCTGTATTAAGCATTTTATTCTGCTTTATGATTATGATTGTGCATCCCTACAGGATGGTGTTCATTACCAAAATATATAGCAACTATTATTTACTGTTATATAGGCCTCAGATCTACAAAATTTCTCAGGTATTACTTTTACCCAAAGCTAGGACTAAGCATTGGGTTACATTACAGTAGCCCACATTTTGCTTGTACTTCAGGTGGATAAGCTTCTAAAATGTCTCTTCAAGTTCTACCAAACTTCCTTCTGCCCCACTGCTATCATTGTTGACAACTGCTTTCTTTTAGGACAGAATTAAGCACATCCATGTCCCAGTGGTTTCCACAGGAAAGACGTAAGCCTATGTTTAAGTCTCTGATTTAAGTTTCTAACTTCAGTAAGAGCACATTATTTCATTTAAACCAACAGTTCTTGATTCTGGGCTCTTAAAATGACCAATGGGAAGTGTTTATTTCTCATGGGCCTCAGGCAATATAGAATGCACTCTGACATGCAATCTGGGCAAAAATGTCCTTACTACCATGAAATTAAAATAAAAGTCTGAATAGTTACTGTGTATGTGTTTGTTAATGGCATCACTCATTTCTTTCTAATGCTTTTTCACAGGGTGAGCAGGGGATCTTCGGTACTTTTCGAATCTTTCTTATTCACGTAAGAAAGCAGCAAGACAAAGTCTCCAGGATCTATCTGCTGCTATATTAACCCAACTGGTAATGATCTGCCCCATTTGGATCCAATTCCAAACTTGGTGCTAGCAGAACAAAGACACTTGATGCCCTTTAAACCTATACTGTACACTCAATTCCAAGGCCTTCCTATCTCTGGTGCTCTGAACCTCTATCATATGATCCCTAACTTAATGGGTGAGGAAAAGGCAAGACTACTTCTGGCCTTTTATTCAGCATCCTCAAAGCTAAATTTAATGCTGCATGTGAAATTCAACCCAAGTATGAAGCATACATCATTTTGATGTGAGTAGAAGAAACCATGGCTGGAATATCAGTTTTTCATTTCAAAAGCTGGGAAAAGTAGGTTGCAAATACCTAGATTTGAAATATCTTGTCCAATCTTGCTCTAAATAGTGCTTTGTATTGCCCAGCCCCAGGACATACCGAAGGAGATGATAGCAGGGGTATCCAGCTTGGAAGGTGGTAAACAGTATCAAAAGGGTGGGCATGATCAGACATCAAAGCCCTGTTCCTTTTTATGTGTGTTAATGCATGTGGCACACATTGAAAATAGGTAGTAGGGCTTTGATACTTTGGGGTGCCTAATTATAAACAGGTTATAGAAGTTAGCTTTTCCTGGTATGATTGCAAAGTTTTCCTTTCAGGGTCTGCCTCCTCTCTCTTGCTGGCAAAAATTGTGCATGACATCTCTGTGTATGTGCGTTCATCTGCCTGCTCAGAAAGTGTTAAAGACATAGAAGTCCTGTCAAAAGAAACATGGTGGCTTTGGGCAATCTTGTGAATGGTTATGTAGAGAAAGTACTGAATGCAGACACTGCTGGAACAGGGTTCTGAGTCGGTGACATCTTGTCTGTAAATTAAGCTAATGAGTAGTGCCCAGCCATCTCTTCCTGGCTGCCATGAACCTTCTCTTAGGAAGTTATCTGAATACTGTATAAGAAAAGAATATTACAATGATGGAAATATGACAATGAATCCTTGCTCTCAGGAAAACAAGAACCTGAGTCTCTTTACTGCTAGCTAACACCTTAATGACTACACCACACTGGCTCTCATTGTGTATCTGCATTATGAATCTATTCCGAGATAAACAAAGGAATGAGAACAGAACCTAAAACCCCAATCCTATGTTAAATATGTCAAGACTCAAGAGCATCAGCTATGATTTATTCTAATGTATAGAGTTGCTGTTCTTAGCATTTGTCTTATACGATTGTAGAATCTACTTGTTTTGTACTGTGCTCATTTAGTTGAAACTGTATGATGCAACAAGAGGTTTTGTTTCTCGGCTGACTGGTGGCAAAGCCTGATATTGATTAGGCCGGAGAGGACATGACTATCCCAAGGTTGCACAGCTGGCTTCCATGCCTAAGGGAGGACCACTCCTAGTCCAGCACCTTTATCCCTACACCATACTGCTACCTCTACCCCTCTCTCTGTCTCTCTCTCTCTCTCTCTCTCTCCCTCCTCCCTCCCTCCCTCTCTCTCTCTCATAAAAACTGCTGTTCCAGTATAACACGAGCATTTAAAATCAAGCTGAAAAAACTATAAAACTGGATCGAGGAACTGGAATACATTTGTCTGGCACCAAAAAGATATTAAAGTGAGTGTTAGGGACACCTCCCTGGGGAGGACGTTCCTGTCATCAATGAGAAGTTTCTCTTTCTTGCTGATTGCTTTTTTTCCATAACACCAATTCTCTTCTGTTTTTAGATCTTATCTTTTCCAGTTTCTTGAGTCTAAAGCCTTTTCCTTCTTCCTTCACCTGTTCTCATCTCTATTCATCATTTTCCTTCTGTTTCTTGGATCCTTCTCAAATTCAGCTTTGATCAAGTCCCTTGGTCCTTATACTTCCAGGAGACATTCATACTGTAAACTCACGCAGCCTGCTGTGAATCAAATCAGATGGGCAAAAGTCAGGGTCCCCTAACAGAAAAATGAGATTTAAACTTTCAGGCTATCTATCCCATAAACTAGGAAGCTTGCAGAGCTGAGTCAACAGTGTGGAGTTCAAAATATCATCAGGTGGTGTCCCAGGGCAAAAGTCTGGATTTAGGAGAGTCAGGGACATTTTTTGATTTAGTGACAAGTGGCTGAAATGCTGAGCCAGGAAGGAAGCAACTGACAGTTTTGCAATGGGAGGCAGCTGGCATCAAGCTAATAGGCTGGAGTCAAGGACCAGTGGATGGAACAACCATGACTTGGCAAAGATTTGGCACAAATCATCAGGCTTTTGCCTAATCCTTTCTATGTTACAGAACAACTCTGTTAAATAATAACACTTTAGCCTCCAGCACCTCCCTGCATCCTGTCCTGGATCAGTTCCTACAGAAGACAAATGCCCACCAGAACTTCATCCTCCCATCCAATCACCCAAATTACTTTTGAAGGACACTTTACCTTTCTCTAGTCCCTTCTTCCCCATATTTTGAATGCTGCTTTACTGAGTTATTTGCCCACGCAACCCAGTGATGTCTAATCTGATTTGCAGTAGCTTTCCAACATCCAACTTTTCCGTTTCAATTCTAATAAAGTTTAACTGGAGATGACAGGCATTGTTTGCTTGTATCCTGTTACGGTTGGTGAATGATTATGAATATTCTGTGACTCTCCAGTAGCTTAGCCACAGGCTGGGATGGGCAGTGGAAGGAGGGGATGAGCTGGGACTTGCAGGAGCAAGTTAGAGGGAAGGGAGTTTTCCACATCCTCCTCCACCCGATTATTTCTGTGAAAGTCTCTGCTATCTTAACTATTTTATATGCCATTTCAAATACATGAAAGTGAAAGGCAAGGCCTAGATAAGGGAAAAAATGCTGTAAACCAAGAAGGCGTCCCTTAATTTCTTTTGCTTTTTGTTTTTGTTTTCTTTGTTTTTTGGTGGTATGGATATTTCCTTTGTAGGAAACTGTCAAGTAATTGTGTTAAGAGAGATAAAAGTCACACAGAAATGAAACTTAGAAAACTTTCCCTTTTTAGCTTTGGTGTTGCTCGTTCTTTTCTTTCCAAGCGCATTAGTTGCTCTGTTCTTTGTTCAGCCATCTCTCTCTATTCCACAGAGTAATTTTGTTCCTTGA